GAGCCGGGCCCTGGGAACACAGGGGGCTCCATCAGGGACCCAGCAGGGCCCCTCGCACTCAGTCTCTCCCAGGACGAACGAAGGAGGCCCACCTGAGTTGATGCTGAGGGGCCTGGGCAGCCTGAGCAGAAGATGGGGACAGGGAGTCAGGACTCACCTGGGAACGAGGGCACGGAGCACCCCAGGCCTGGGAGGCTCAGGATCAGCAGCCACAGCATCTGCGGGGAGGGCAGGGGCCTGGGTGAGACCACCAGGGGCCAGGGTCCCCGTGTGGGGATGGAGAAGCCGGGGTCTGAGCAGCGGCATCCTCACTTGGAAGGACCCTCCTTGTAACCCTCTCTGCACCCTTCATCCCCTGGCACAGGAAGGGCAGGCAGGGATCCCTGGCTGGGCCAAGGGCAAAGAGAGCTGCTCCCCTCTCAGGCCCACAGCAGGTCAGGTGTACAGTCAGCAGGCAGGGAGGAGCTGCTGGGCCCTGGCACTGCCTCCCCTGGATCTGCCACTGCTGTCACTGGGCAGCAGCCATTTCTGGCTGCACGGATCTCAGCCACAAAGCACAGCCAGGCCGGCGGCCTGAGCAAGGAGAGCTGCTGAGAGGGTGCAGGTGCTGGAAGAAGCCCCAGAGCTTTGGGCTCAGGCAGGCGGGCCCAGGGAGGCAGAGCCCCAGAGCTGCTGCTGGGCCCTTGAGCCACAGGGCAGCCCCTGATTCCACTGGACCCCGTGAGGCAGCATGGAGCTCGCCACCATCTGACTGGAGCATGCCATCTGCCTGGCACGTGGCCTGTGGCCACCCTCACTGCCACCAGCTGAGGCCCTGCACACGGCCCTCTGCAGGGTGCTCCCTGGAAGCTGCACCAAGATGGGCTTTCATGTGGGTACAAGTCAGGGAGAGGCACCTGGGAGGCAGGTGGACAGAGCAGAGATGGGCAGAGGGTGAGCCTTGAGCACAATGCAGGCTGATGACACCTTGACCAGCCCACAGGGAGACCCAGGCCACGGCCCCACTGGGACACAGTGCCAGCTCCTGCTTCTCCCTGTGCCAGCCAAGAGGGACCTGCGGGGGCGCGGCAGCCAGAGGAACTGCCAGGCTTCCCATCAGGTCCTGTCCTAAAGGGGGACCTGGCCCGCAACTGTGTCCGGCAGCGTCCCCCACCTTCTGTCTCGTGTGCTGAGGAGGCGGCCGCAGGACCACAGAGGAGTCCCTGCCCAGGAAACTGGGAAGCAGGAGCTCAGGGTACAACTGAGGCCGACAGGGCCCCTCCACTGTCCACCTGGATCCCACCCTTTGCTACTAACTGGGACTCTGGGACTTACCTGGTAGCACAATCCAGACCCCCATCCCTGAGGGGCTGAGCTCTGGTCACAGGGACTTCTCAGGCCAGGTGGCTGCACATGTCCACCTGCCATCACATTGACGAGGGGGTAGCAAGGGACATGCAAGGGCCCTCACCTTCCCTGCCCCCCATTGTGACACAGTAGCCTGGCTCTGCCTGGTGCTCAGTGTCAATGTCCTACCAAGATGGTGGCACGTCTTGCTCCCTGGCCTCCATATACAAGGAGCTCAATGAACCCAGACAGCAGCTGTCACTCACATCTCAGGAATGTTCCTCAGTGCAGGCTGCAGGGCCTGCGTTGTCCTGCCCCCCCTGGGGCTTGCCCATCACCAATACTTTTACCACCATCCTGTCTGCTGCGTCCTGTGAGGCCATTGCAGCTGGACCTGCAGCAGAGCTCTGTCCAGCGCTGCGACCACTCAGAGCCGGCAGCCTGTTGTGGGGCCAGCGTCACGGGCTGGAGGGCGCTGTGAGGTGGGGAGCACGCTGCTTCCCTGAGAGGGGCAGAGGCCCTCACTGGCCTGTTGTTTTGATGGGGGGCCCCGGGGTGCTGGGCCGTGGGAATCCTAAAGATTTCCTGTGGCCAGGCCCCTGCCTCCTCAGGGGTGCGCTCCCCCTCTCAGGAGCACACAGCCTGGTGGTCTGTAACCTCACCAGTGAGGGAGTCAGTGTGGACCAGTGCGGTCCCTCAGAACCTGCCCTGCTTTAGAAATAAGTGCAGAAGCAACTAGTTCTATGGGGTCAGAGTGGAGGGGGGGAGGCCCTTAATCCAATGATGGTTCCTTGTGGGAAGAGGTGAGGATGCGGAGCGCACAGAGGCGTGGGGAGGACGGGCTGGAGGTCCAGGGGTTCCTCCCCAACCAAGGGTCCCAGCACCACCAGCAGCTGCAGGAGGCAGGATCCTGGGTGTAGCTGTGGCCCCAGAACAACTTGACTGTGGGCTGCTGGCCTCCAGCCGGTAAGAGGATGCATTTGTGTTGTTTTAAGCTCACACTCCCCAGCGGGGGCTGTCACTGTGAACCCAGGACACCACACAGGGGGGAGCCTGGTGGTGACTGAGGTGTGATGTCCACCTGGAAGGGCATGGCCCTCATGGAGTCTCCATTCCAAGCCCTGAAGGTGTCTCTTGTCACTTCAGACAAGAAGAAGCCAATGAGTGTGGGCCAGGCGTCCTCAAACTTTTTAAGCAGGGGGCCAGTTCACTGTCCCTCAGACCGTTGGAGGGCCGGACTATAGTTTTTTTAAAAAAACTGTGAACAAATTCCTATGCACACTGCACATATCTTATTTTGAAGTAAAAAAACAAAATGGGAACAAATATAATATTTGTATTTGCATGTGGCCTGTGGGCCGTAGTTTGAGGACCCCTGTGTGGGCCCTCCCTAGGGTCCCCATGGGCACTGACCTGGCCTGCAGGGGTCTCTATTGGGGACAAAGCCCTGCTGCTTCAGTGTCACCGACCTCTGAAGGCCCAGGCTCAGTTAGAAAAGATTTCAGAACCACAGGCAACATGCCCTCCTGTCCATCTCCAGCCCAGGCATCTGGGTCCGCCCACCTTGATTCCTGCTGAGCCCAGGATGGGAGGTGCTTAGGCTGTGATTCCAGGCAAATGGGGGAGGGGGGGGAGCAGCGGCCCTAAGCCCATCCGAGAGAGAGAGAGAGAGAGAGAGAGAGAGAGAGAGAGAGCGCTCCTGCTGGTCCACCCGTGGCCATGCCTGCAGGCACAGCCCCTGGCCCAGGCGTGTCTCACTCCAGCCTTCCCTCCAACTCCAAGTCCTAGGTCCTTCTCCCTCCCCTGGGAGCACTGGCCTCTGAGTCACTCAGACCCTCAATTTTACTCCTAGAAACACTAAAGGTCTGACTAAACCCTCACCCAGGGAGGAAAGCCCTACAAAGACTCACAGTCCCCAGAACCCAATGGGAAGGCAGGCAGCCCACACCCTCCTGGGGGACACAGGGGACCTGGATGTGTGTGGACCACCTGGCAGCCGCCCACCCACAGGGCCCCGTGGACAGGCAGTCACTTAGGCAGAACGTGTGCCTGGAACCCGAGGATGAGGGCACAGGGCCAGGCTGTGCTGTGTCACCCTCTCCTCCCTCCCTGGGCGGAGCAGATCCCCAAGGGGGCCATCTAAATGGTGGTGCCTTCCAGCAGAGTCTCAGGCCTTCTTTTCCCAGGAAATGGCTTTCCTGGAGAGCTCCTGGCTCCCAGGAACCCAGACTTCAGGGCACATGGGGGACTCTGCTCCTGATCCGCCGCCCCCCCATTACCCCCCCCCCCCTCCCCTGGAGCTTCCACTCTCTAACTCGGAATCCAGCCCTCCCCGAAGGACCGAAGGACTGGGTCACAGTGACAGAGGAGGGCTTTCCACCATGGCCTCGGGGGAGGGGTCCAGGCACTGCAAGGTCTGGAAGGCCAACACCCCATTGTAGAATCAGACTGGGGACCAGCTTGTCGCTGCAGGGTATGGAGCCCCCTCACCCACAACATAGGGCCACCTTGGGCTCCACAGGCCCTCCTGGGTCCTGGCCCCAACCTGCAGGTGCAGGACCCACCCCAGCCGGGCACCAGCCATGCCCCCCAAATCCTACTCCAGCAGGAAGTGCACATCACTGCCTGGGGCAGGGGGGACCCCACAGCCCCTTCTCACTCTCTGGATTTGAAACTGAAGCTCCTCTGTCCACTGGGAGCCCCTCCCACCCCCAGGGAGAAAGGAGGGGCTCTGCTGGGCCTGAGGGGACTGTGCACCTCGGTGCCTCTCCAGCAGGGGCACCAGCGCCAGGAGAGTGGCCTGGGGGGCATGGGGTCCCCTCTCCACCCTCCTCTCTGCCACCTCCAACCAACCAGGCCCAGGGAGCTGGGGGGGCCAGAGGGTGGGGCGGGGAAGAGGGGGACTGGCTGGTCCCAAGACCCTGCAGGTCCGCCCTGCTCAGAAGAAGCTCAGAATGGGAGACTGAGGATCTGGTGGAAATGAGGCTGCACTTCATTTGGTCCCAGGAGTTGATCACATTGGAAAATGGGGGTTTGGCGCCGCAGGGTCAGAGGGAGCAGCGGTGACCATGGGAACAGAGCACCTCCTGTTTGCATGCGGCCACGTCCAGGTCATTAAAGCCTCCATGACACACTGACTGCCACTGAAGGAGGAACAGGGACGGTCTGCACCCGCTGGGGGCGGCCTTCCGGGCTGTGGCCTCCAGCCCCGGGCAGCAGACTCACCTCCACCCCAGCCAGGAGAGCCGCCAGGTCGCCCTCTTCCAGCTGCAGCCATAGCTGCCCATCCCACCTGGTCCCCCTCCCAGAGCCTGGGCTCCCCCAGCAGCACAGACCACCCACTGGCCGCCTTGGCCACGCCCACAGGTAAGTACACTGAGTCCAGAGCAGTTTTTCATGCAGTTTAATGAGCTACAGAGGGTGGGGAGGAGGCAGGAGTCCTGCAGTGCCAGCCCTACTTCAGAGCACGTCCCGCCTCTCCCTTTTGCCTGTCAGGTGAGAGAGGCTGATGGAGGTGCTGAGGCAGGAGGATCTCAGAGCAGGTGTGTGTGTGTGGGGGGGGGGGGGGAGGCGGGAGAGGGATGGAGGAGGTGCTAGGTGCAATGAAGAGCTGGCTCTGGGAGGGAGCAGGGAGGGTCCCCCAGACACCCTGGAGGGCCTGTCTTCATCTCATGGGCAGCATCCTTGCCCGGCCCCAGGCTCAAGGAGAGGAATGAATATGACCGAGGATCCAAGGCAAGAAGGATGTCACTCGGGCATAGACTGTAGGAAAGTTGTCAAGACCGCACTTGTGCCCCCAGCTCACCACGCCTACCTGGACCCAGGTGCCCCTCCATTTACAGACCAAGGGGCCCCCAGAGTCTCCCTGTAGGAAGAAGAGACAGGTGGTCAGTACTCAGGGCCCCTGCAGGCAGGAGCAATGGACGGAGGCCACGGTCTGGGGGTCTCACCTGGCAGGTGCCCCGGCCTTCGCCCCCGGCACACAGCATGTCGTCCTTGATAACCTTGTTGATCCTGAGGTATTGCTGCCGACAGATCTCATTCGCCACGATGGGGACCTCCACTTCCTGCAGATTGTGGGGCGGTGGCAGCAGCTCTGTGAGAATAAGCCCAGTGAGCCTGTGGTCCTGAGGGGGCGGACAGTCACAGGCCACGGGTTCTAGAATCATACGCTGAGCCTCAGTGCCCCCAGGGGTACCGATGACCCCAACTCTCAGGCTTCATTCCAGGTCAATGGGATGATAATCTGTAGGCTGACACTGTGGGCACCAAGCTCAAAAAAGAAAAAGGGAAATACGTTTTTATCCACAATAGTTTTTATTGGGAAAAATCAGAGTAAGTGCTTTCCGCCTAGAAATGCAGAGTGAGCGGCCCTACTGTCAAATTTGACTTTGTCCATTTAATAGTGAATCCTGGAGCTCATCACTGAAGTTCTCTCTCCTCGTTCTCCATCCCACTATCGAGACTCAGGGAGAACGGGGACCCCCGGAAGGGAGGACACGGCCTGGTGCAGAGTGAGGGAGAGAAATGCCCATGGCACGCTGGCCAGTGTTTCTCAGTGGTGAGAGCACTGGCCTCAAGGATCCCAGGTTTGATTCTTGGTCAAGGGCAAGTACCTGGGTTGCAGGTTCAATCCCCAGCCCCAGTCGGGAAGATAATGAAAAGATATGCCCCTCACAATCAATGTTTCTCTCTCCCCTTCCCTTCCACTCTCTAAAAATCAATGGAAGAGATATCCTTGTGTGATACTTAAAACAAAAAAATGCCCATGCCATGCCTCACTCTTGCTACTGTGGTCTCTGCTCCTAACAGACTCCTCTTGAGCTGTCTCCCTCCTACACCCAAGGGAGACCCCGGAGGGACCCCAGCACAGACCCCAGCTGAGCCTCCTCTGTAGAGCCCGGCCCGCCCCCTGCATCGCCCTCAGTCTCCTCCTCCCACTCCCACATGTCACCTGGTTCTCACCTTCAGGAGCAATGCGGCCCCAGCCAGTCACCCAGCACCGTGTGCCAGGGGGGAATGAGAGGGAGGCTGGCGGGAGGCGGATCCACTTGATGAGGTTAGATGGTTGCACGGGAGCCTCCAGTTTGAGAAGTGCCACGTCCGCCCCACCTACTGCTTTCTTTTTAATGCTGTACTTGGGGTGGCGGATGATCCTGGCCACCTGCACACTGTCACTGTATGAGGGCCTCAGTCGTCCTAGTTGGACCTTAATGTGCCGAGTCTCTGGGTTTGTCCTGGGGACAGGAGGCCAAAGGCTTCTGAGAGGCTGTGGAAAGGAGTGGGCCAGCCCCTCAGGGCCCAGAGACCTCCCCTCTTTGGTGGGCAAGAGGAGCACCAGGAAGCTGAATCCTGGTGGGGGGTCTGCAGCCACTCAGCCCAGCATCTGCCCCCAACACACATCACATGCCTCCCGACACTTTCCACCCTCCCCCTCCCCCCCACCCACCGGGTGCTGGCAGAGTAGGGACTTACCCATGAATGCAATGGGCAGCGGTCAGCACCCACTGTTGATTGATGAGGGAGCCCCCACAATTGCGATGCCACTTTGAACTTGTTTGATTCCAGACCCACAGGCCCACCTGCCACGGCCACGCCCCATCGGCAGCATCATGCCCCCCCACGATGCCCACCAGCTCAGTCCCTGGGCCGGGATCTGGGGAAGCAGAGGAGGAGCCATCAGGGACCCAGGCACCGCTGCCCGGCACTCAGCATGGCCCCATCCTCAGTCCCTCCAGGAGCCACCCTCAGAGGGGGATCGCCACCCATCCCAGGGGCGGCCTCTGAGAGGTCAGTCAGGGGTTTGGAGAAAAGCCAGGCTTGGGGGTTGGGACCCACCTGAGGTGACAGGTACGGAGCCCCCCAGACAGGGGAGAGTCAGGACCAGCAGCCACAGCATCTGCAGGGGGAGAAGGGAGGGAGGAGAGCCAGTGAGGAGATGTGGGGCAGGGACACAGCCTGGGAATGGAGAGGATGGGGCTTTGAGCAGTGTCCTCACCATGCCAGGTCTGTCTGCCTCTGTCCTGGGCCCTCTGAGCCCCTTTATCCTCCTGCCCAGACAGGCCCAAGGGGAAGCCACCCTCCTTTGGGGTGGGGCTGGGAGGAGGCAGGGCTTATGCCTTCCATGGGACCAGTGGTGACCAGCAGACCAACTATCAGATAAGAAACATGGTGTTTCCTCTCTGAGAAGACACTCAGTAATGGTGCTGGAGCCCTAGCTGGTTTGGCTCAGTGGATAGAGCTTCAGCCTGTGGACTGAAGGGTCCCAGGTTCGACTCCAGTCAAGGGCACATACCTTCGTTTCAGGTTCCTCGGCCCTGGTTGGGGTTCATGCAGGATGCAAACAATCAATGTGTGTCTCTCACATCGATGTTTCTCTCTGTCTCTCCCTCTGCCTTCCACTCTCCCTAAAATCCATAAGCATGTCCTCGGGTGAGGAGCTAAATAAATGATAAATAATCAGATGCTCTGAAACAACACAGAGCAGAGGTACAGATGGGATGGGGACAGGCACCTGAGCCAAGAGTGGGATGAGGCGGGGGAAAGGAGAGCAGCAGCCCAGTGCGCCCCTGCCCCCATCCTTCTTTTGAGGCTCACAGTGTCCCCCAAAAAGGACAGACTCACTGGACCTGCAGACAAAGTTTGCCAGCAACACCATGAGATGGAGGAGGCAGCTTCCCTGGAACCTTTGGAAGGAGTGGGACCTGTTGACACCTTGATTGTAGACTTCCAGCCTCCAACACTGTGACAGAATAAAGTTTTATTTAAAGGTCCAGGTCTGTGGCATTTGTTATGGCCGCCCCAGGACACTCAGGTATCTGCTCAGCTGTCCTCATACATCCTATGCATGATCAAGCTTTGCCAAAATGCACAGGAAAGGGTGTGAGAGGTGCCAATTTAGTGCTACTTCTCCTCACCTCCTGCACACGCCTGCACCCCCACAGCGCTGGGAGCCAACCCCCCTCTCACACTCCCTGCTTTCTGAATGGAGGAGCTCTGTCCCCCAAGTTCAATCCCAGGCAGAGGCCGGCCACCTGCCAGGGACAGGCTTTTCTGCCCTTTTGACATTCTGACAATCATTCTCCACCAAGCATGGGACAGGACCAGACAGTGGTTTGAGAGGAGAAGGAGGAGGGGTTCCCACACTCCTGAACCACGCCCGGTCCTCTGTGCCCCGTGAGCCCAGTGAGGAGACCACCAAGGGATGCTTTGCAGCACTTAGACGAGCTCAGGTCTCTAGAATCCCATCATTCCCTCCTGGGCCAGAGTCCCTGTCATCCTTGCTGAGATGTTGGTGTCTCCGGGGGCACCCAGAATCCTCAGGGGACACTGGGGATCTCGACAGGAAACAACCAGGATCCAACATGGCCAGGGGGCCCTGTGGAGGGGGGATCGAGCACCCAGGAGGGAAGGGGCTGGGCTCCCAGACCCAGCAAGTCCCACAGGCCCAGGGGGGAGACCTCTGGGTGATAAGGGGGCTTCCTCCCTCCCTGCCTCTGGTCTGGACAGAGGCCCCACCTTCAACCACCTCAACAGTGGATGTGGGTTTGGGGCTGGTTTCAGCCCAGATGACAGGAAGGCAAGTCACAGCAGTGTCACCAAGAGGCCACAGGCCCCAACGCCCAGCCTGATGCTGGACCCAGGCTTCCCGTCCCCTGGCACCAGGCTGGGCGATAACCAGCTGGGCCAGACCTGGGAAAAGACGGCATTTGAGCATTAGGAGCAGATCTGCCCCAAACAGAAACAAGAGGTTTGAGGGTCTGGGGGGAAATGTCATGACTATCACTGGCAGATAATACGATCTTCCTCCCAGAAAAGCCAAAAGCCTCAACTGAAAAGGTGCTAAGATTAAGTTTCCAAGGTGTCTAGATGGAAGACAAATATTTTGCATGCAAATCAGGAGAGAAAGAAGGAGAAACTCATCTTTAACCCCAGGCATAGCTAATGCGATGCCATATGGTAGAGATTCCATTCACGACCAGGTCCATACATTCCTAATCTAGAGTCCGTGACAACCACAAACTTCCTTGAGAAGGACACTCACACTAAATAAAATGTCAATGTTGTTAACAAGAGACAGTGTCATCCAATATCAACCCTTCCAAAATCCCAATAGAATATGAACTGCAGGAAAGTTTGGGAACATTCAAAGTGACCCCCAAGTTTTTGAGGAGGAAAATACAGGTGGGGGTGTCCCAGGAAGCCACAGGGCAGAGTGAGGCAAACTAGGCAGCTGGTAGCATAAAACTGTGGGAACGGGAACCAAGTGGCCGTCCAGTGACGCAGGGAGGGTGAACGGCCCAGCCAACTTGCCCATCCTCCTAGACCCAGCCTCAGCGACAGAACAGCACCAGACAAACGCATGGTATCAGCTCACAGCAAAGAAGGAGGAGACGGCATCGGTGAGGGGCCGCTGGGAATCAGATGGAGGGGATGAAGAAGAGGAGGTTGGGGAGAAGTGCAACCCCCTGTTCTGGTGCTTGGGTGAAGCCATCTCACTGTGCAGGACTCATGGTGATGGGGCCACCTTGAACGTGAGGGACCCAGGCAACTCAGAACTTGGCAGGGGCTGAAGAGGGTCACCCAGCTCAGAGGAAGGTGGTGAGAGCCAGGAGGCTGGACACACGGTCAGGACCCAGGCCGTCCTCTCCCTCCTGCAGTCGGGGTCACCCCAGGCAGAGGGTGAAGGATCTATCTCTAGAGAACCTTTGGTCCCAGCCAAACAGAGGACTGGCATCTGGGAGGCCCAGGTCTCCGCCCAGTCATCTCAGAACAGAATCAACTAGTCCACCAGCCAACCAGGCTGACAGATGCGAGTCAGCATTTGAACTGTTAATAAACAGTTGTTTCTGTTCCTTAGAAAAGTGTTCTTGCACCCCACTGGTGTGGCTCAGCAGGTGAGTGTCAGCCCAGGAACCAGAGGTCCCTGGTTTGATTCCCAATCAGGGCAACATGCCCAGGTTGCAGGCCCAATCCCCAGTAGGGGGCGTGCAGGAGGCAGCTGATCAATGATGTTCCTCTCTCTCTCATTGATGTTTCTATCTCTCTATCCCTCTCCCTTCCTCTCTCTAAGTATACTTGTTTATGGTGGTAATTTTTGACATAAACCAGCCCAAAATTTAGTGATTTGCTCTTACATATGAAGAAAACTGTTGGTGCAGACCAGGAAAGCATTGAATTGGAAATTTAAAAACCAAAGGAAAAACAAATGAAAAAAAAAAGTTATTCAAACCTATTCAACTAGCAATGATGAGAAATAGAAGTTTGAGCAAGTTTTCAGGGAGGTAGAAGATACTGCATTTATGAAACAAGGATTACATACTGTTTTCTTCTCATATCAGATAATAACCAAGCAGATCATAACCAAGTGCCCTTGGACATTCAAAATATAACAAATTAGCCTGGGCAAGTGATTCAATGGTTAGAACAGTGGCCCACCCGCCAAAGGGTGACTGGTTCAATCCCCGTGTGGGTTCCATGTGTGGGAGGCAACCAAGCAATGTGTCTTTCTACCACTTCTCTCTCTCTCTCTCTCTCTCTCTCTCTCTCTCTCTCTCTCTCTCTCCCCATCTTCCTTCCCTCTCCTTCCCTTCCACTATCTCCAGAAATCAATGGAAAATATATGCTTGGGTGAAGATTAAAAAAAAATTGTAATAGAACAACAAAAAACAACAACAAAAAAATGGGCCTTCCTGTTCTTTTAACACCCTGAAAAGAAAAAAACACACGTGTGCACAGCTGGCCCACCACTGAGGTGGCAGCAAGTGAGAGATGTCAATCAGTTCTGATAGGCAGAGGCAGATGGAGGAGGGGGAGGGGCACACAAATGCCTGCTGACAGGGGCTTGTTCCCATAGAGGGCCCTTCACACCCACAGAGATGCTCAGGATGTAGAAGCCAACTGACCCCAAAGGAAACTGAGCAGGAAACGTACAAAGGACAATGTTCCCTGGAAACATGTTCAGTGAAATAAGCAGGCGCAGAGGCCACACAGTGTGCGCTTCTGTTTATGTGAACTTGGAACCGGACAACCAGTGGGTCCGGGCTGCCTGTCACCACTTGAGCCAATTCAGCAGACACAGGCTTGAATCATGTAGGAGCGTTTATTCCAGTCCTGCCAGCAGGAGGGGAGAGCTGCAGGTCACCCACGGAAATCTGCTCTGCACCCCACCATCAGCCACTGCTTATATTGGGTAGAAGGACAGAGATGACGGGGAAAGTAGGAAGGACAGGCATGGGAACGTGGGCATGAGGTAATCATTACAGGTTACAGGTCATGAGGCTGGGGTGTTGGGGGTCACAGAGGGTGGATGCCTCTGGGCACCCAGGACCAGATTACAGGTAATAGGGGCTGAGGGTTGTAGAGAGCAGGTGCCTCTGGGACTAGATGATCTCAGTCACCAGGTGGTAAATCTCTCCATTAATGACAGACAGTTCTGCGGACAGGAGGACGGACTGCATTCCCATGCTAGCTGCCATGGCCCAGGGCGCACACTCCCAGCCAGGTGAGAATGTGCTTTCTCTAATCAGAACAGAACCATCATGAGTAACAGAGCATTGGTAACATTTCTTATAATTACATTGAACAAACGCATTTTTCTTTGACAAACATTGGAACAAAAACTATTGTTGAAATTTTCATGAAATTCATGCAACCTTGAGATTAGATATTATAACCTCAGGTGTTAGAATTTACTGATCGCAGACACTCCTTACTCTCAATTCATTAACATTTAAGAGGACTGATTTTTCTTCTCAAGCAACCGCACACATCTAAACTTTATAAAGAAGTTTGTTCTTTTGGCTCATGACCAAGCACTTCAGTCCAGAAGGGAACTTGATCTTGAAAGTGTTAAAGAGAATAAAACGGGGCAGAGAAAACTTATGTGCTTAGCAGTTT